AGTGAATAGCCAAATGCCGCCGAGTGGCATTCGGCTCAGCTATTCTGCTTGGTATCTCCAGGTTAACGAGCAGAATAGAAAATCAATGAAAAAAGTAACAAAAAAGGTAGATTTTTAAAATGTAAACAAATAGTTAAATAAAAAAATAAATAAAGGTTAAAAAAAACAATTTGAGCTAGAGCTAGCAGTGACAGCTAGCTGCACCCAACTGGTTCCTATTGGCCGGCACCTGCTAGAGTCTTCTAGCAGGTCCCGGCCAATGAATAACAACTGGGTGGAGCTGGCCGTGACATCACAGTTGGTTTCCGACCAGTTGTTTTTGTTTAATAACAGTTCAGCATCCCCAGGTCCTTTGGGGACGCTGATCTGTCATTACAACTGGGCGGATGACAGCCGCGAGATCACGGCTGGCTCCGCCCAGCTGTCAATTGTGGGGCTCAAGGCCGGCATTTGGCAGGCCGTTTGCCCCGCTTGGGCTGACACTTCGGCTCAGTCCAGCCAAAGCAAATGCCTTCGGTTCGGCTAAGCTGCTCCACCACCTTCGGCTGCTGTACGGGCTATTGTGAATAGCCCGTACAGCAGCCTATCGGGTCGACTGAAACAAAGGGCTCCAGCAGCCGAAAGGACCCGAAGGATCAGCCAAAGCTATAGCTGGATCCTTCGGCTCCTTTGTGAATAGTCCTCTTGGAGTCAAATTCTCTTCAGGCTACACACAGCTGGCACCATTATTTTCCAGGTCAATGCCAATTAGTTTTTATTCAAGAACATCGCAATCCACATTTGCTTTCTCAGGACAGGGAGCAATTTGAGGTGATGTCTAGATGTCTGTGGCCGACATTAGACACAGTTATCCAAAAAACACAGAAAGATTATTTTTACAGACGAGTGGGTGTTGTTCCATATGTGTACATATTTCAAGTGGCCGCGCATATCTTTTAATTGGAATCTTTCGTTAACAAAAGCTTTCATGGCAGTGGCATGGGTTGTTCTCATGCCATGGATGCAAGTATAAAAATATATCTAAAACCAAATCCTTTTTCTTCATTTTAGATACAGTAAGGGATGCTTAGAAGCTCTGTTGTTTTTTTTGTTGTTATCTGTATCACATTGGGGAGATTTTCCTTCACTTCCCATACAGAAAACACAAGAGGAAGTGAGAGAAAATCTCTCCAAATTCATGGAAATGTCCTATTAGACAGCTGTCACCAGAACAGGTGATGTTCTGGTGGCAACTCAAAACTTTGGAATTCCCATAACTTTTAGGGCTTGTTCACACCATACACAGAGCGGTCAGCTGCTGGAACGTACTGTATAGCATCCCAGCTGGCTTCCTGCGTTCAGGGGCGGGAGGGGACGTGACGGTGCATTGAAGTCAATGGCACCGTGGCCACGCCCCCCCCACCCCCAGTGCGATCGCCCGCATGCATGCAGCATATTTTCAGATCGCACTGGACCGGAATGCAGGCACTGATGTGCCACGCGTTCTGGTGCGGGCGATCGCACTGCGGGTGGGGGGTGTAGACGCGGTGCCATTGACTTCAATGCACCGACACGTCCCCTATCGCCCCAGAACGCAGGAAGCCAGCCTGGATGCGATACAGTGCATTTCAGCAGCTGACCGCTCTGGAACGCACTGTTTATGGTGTGAACAAGCTCTAACATCATAATAAAGTTGCAGGTTACAGTGGCCAAAATAAGACTGCTCAATGCATTGAAGTTACATAGTTACATAGTATTTGAGGTTGAATAAAGACATTAGTCCATCAAGTCCAACCTATTAGGATCTCATTCTAGGAGTACCCGTACCCCTGTATATTACGGTCCCTTAAGAAATCGTCCAAAAGTTTCTTGAACAATTCCACATTCTTTGCTGAAATCACTGTCTGTGGCAGTGAGTTCCAGACCCTAACTGATCTTACTGTGAAGAACCCCCTTCGCCCCTTGTGCTGGAATTTTTTTTCCATCAATTTTAGGTGGTGGCCTCTAGTTTTTGTAATGGAGTTAATTTTAAACAGTTTATCGCTAATGTTGCTGCCACCATTGAACATTTTGTACATGGAGATCATATCCCCCCTCAATCTCCTCACCTCCAATGTGAACATGTTTAAATTTAGTAGCCTTGTCTCGTAGCTCTGGTCCTCCATACCCCTAATTAGTTTGGTTGCCCTCCGCTGGACTTTTTCCAACTCAAGGACATCTTTTCTTAGTACTGGTGACCAGAACTGGACCGCGTACTCCAGATGAGGTCGAACCAATGATCTATAAAGTGGAAAAATTATAGACTTGTCCCTGCAATACATCCCCTTTTTAATACAGGACAAGACCCTGCTAGCTTTGTTTACAGCAGCCTGGCACTGCAAACTACCTTTCAGTTTGTGGTCTACAATGACCCCCAAATCCTTCTCCATTTCTGACTTCCCTAGCGGCATACCCATAATTGTATAACCCATTTGTTTATTTTTAATTCCAAAGTGCATTACTTTGCATTTATCGACATTAAACCTCATCTGCCACATTAATGCCCACTCCCCTATTTTATCCAGGTCCTCCTGTAATGTTATAGTGTCTAAGTCCGTGTCTATTACCCTCCCAATTTTGGTGTCATCCGCAAACACGGAAATATCGCTGTTAACACCCTCCCCGATGTCATTAATAAATAAGTTGAACAATATGGGACCCAGCACAGAACCCTGAGGCACCCCGCTCATTACACTAGCCCAGTCTGAAAAGGTGCCATTTACAGATACCCTCTGGACACGTTCCCGTAGCCAGTTCTCTATCCACGTACACACCACCTCATCTATGCCCATAGCCCTCAGCTTGTGTAGCAAGCGTTTGTGTGGTACCGTATCAAAAGCCTTTGAGAAATCCAGATATACCACATCTACCGGCTTACCTCCGTCCATATCTCTACTCACCCCCTCATAAAAAGTTAGCAGGTTAGTCAGGCAGGAACGGTCTTTCCTGAACCCATGCTGATTGTCATTAACTATCCCGTTTTCCTGAACAAATTCTACCAGATAATCCTTTATTATGCCCTCTAGCATTTTACAAACTACCGATGTTAGACTGACCGGCCTATAGTTCCCAGGTTGGCACCTAGCCCCCTTTTTGAATATTGGGACTACCGTAGCCCTCCGCCAATCACTGGGGATCCTACCAGTCATTAAGGAGTCCTTAAAAATGAGGATTAATGGGCTAGTTATAACCTGGCTTAATTCCTGAAGTACCTTGGGGTGCAGGTTATCCGGACCCACTGCTTTCTTCATTGCCTGGGGCTTTAGAACAGAAGGCACAGGAAAATCAGTGCTTGGCTTACTTAGTCTGTTGTCTTGTCATACATTGTCATACAAATCCTCATTCCAATAAAACCACCATGATAGTACAGGGATCAGATTGTGATGTAATGTATTTGGTGCTCACACATTAATATTATTATTAAACAAAGATTTATATAGCGCCAATGCTTTGCGCAACGCTTTACAATATAAGGAGAACATTACGGTTACAAGTCAAGACAAGATGGTAAGGAGGGCCCTGCCCCTGAGGGCTTACAATCTAAAAGGATGGGGGAAGTGATACATGAGGAGGTAGCTGTGTGGGGATGAATTGTTTGAGAATGTGATGGTTCAGTGGTTAGTGGTGGGATAGGCTTCGCTGGAGAGATGTGTACTAAGGATTGCCTAAAGGCAGTCAGACTGGGAGATAGATGGACTGGTTGGAGTTCCAAAGAATGGGAGGGACTCTAGAGAATTCCTGAAGGAGAGAATGGGAGGAGTTGACTAGGGAGCTAGAAAGCAGGAGGTCTTTGGAAGAGCGGAGGGGATGGTTAAGTTTGACACTTTGAGATGAAGTTGGAGATATATCCGGTGGCTGGGTTGTGGATGGCTTTGTGAGTGGTTGTTAATATTTAGAATTTTATCCTTTGGGCGATTGGAAGCCAGTGGAGGGATTGGCAGAGGGGGGTAGGGGATGGAAGCCAGTGGGAGGGATTGGCAGAGGGGGGTAGGGGATGGAAGCCAGTGGGAGGGATTGGCAGAGGGGGGTAGGGGATGGAAGCCAGTGGGAGGGATTGGCAGAGGGGGGTAGGGGATGGAAGCCAGTGGGAGGGATTGGCAGAGGGGGGTAGGGGATGGAAGCCAGTGGGAGGGATTGGCAGAGGGGGGTAGGGGATGGAAGCCAGTGGGAGGGATTGGCAGAGGGGGGTAGGGGATGGAAGCCAGTGGGAGGGATTGGCAGAGGGGGGTAGGGGATGGAAGCCAGTGGGAGGGATTGGCAGAGGGGGGTTGCAGACACTGAGCGGTTGGTAAGGTGGACGAGTCTAGCAGCAGCATTCATGATAGACTGAAGGGGGGAGGAGCCTGTGTAGAGGGAGGCCATTGAGGAGGGAGTTGCAGGAGACGAGACGAGAGATAAGAAGGGAGTGGATGAGTAGCTCAGTGGTCTCATTGGTGAGGAAGGGGGCGTATTTTGGAGATGTTATAAAGGTGAAGTCAGCAGGCTTTGGATAGTTAGATGTGGGGCAGGAAGGTGAGGTCAGAATTCTGGATCACAGTTAACACTTTGGCATGGGGGGAGGGATGGATAGTTATGTTATCAATCTCAATGGAAATGTTGGGGGAAGGTGCACAGGGTGGGGCGGATATCATAAACTCAATTTTTGTAAGATTGAGTTTTAAGAAGTGTTGTGACATCCAGACTGATATGTCAGTAAGTAAATAAATGAGGCGCAAGGGCACAAGGGGGTGAGTTGTGGAGTGGAGAGATATATTTGAGTGTCATTGGCATAGAAATGGTATTGGAAGCAGTGCGAGCTTATCAACATTGAGGGGAATATTTATGCCTTAGCCATAAACAGTTGTTCATTGCACTGAAAAATCTGAGCAGTCCATAGTAGAGTCAATCCCATGATATCCATCAGCAATTAGTGCCAATGGTGACCCAACATGGCACTGTACAGTGGTTTTGATTTTGATGGCTGCTTAAATGTTTGGAAAGACTGTGTGATTTATCTATATTTGGGAAAGTCATACTGGAAAGCCAAAATTCTGAAGTCAATGAACTTTGCCAGTATAAATGGTGCATGTTCGGTGATAGTTCTTCTGAAGCCCATCTTTAGATATAACTGTGAGGCATCAATCTGAGCCATGGAGGTACTTAACACCACTGCACTGCTGCCCCTCTTCCAGGCATAGTCAATGACTGTTCTGCACAAGGCCTTGGCGATCCCTTTCCCTCTATGTTTTATGGGAACTGACAGTCTCTTAAGCTCCACTTGGTTTTCTCCAGTGGGATTTTCCGGAACGATGGCAGCGACCATCCCTACAATTTCCCCAGCCAACTCCGCCACCCAGAAGCAGTAACCATCCCGCTCCAAGTAATATTTACGGATATTCATCATGTCGTTAGTCAGGCTATTCTGGACATAACCAGCATAGACATGCCTGTTGAGGAGCCATAGTGCTGCTACACCAAGGGGCATCACCATGGCCAAGAGCAGGTAAGACCCCGTGGTCTGACGAAGAAACAAGAACAAGGCCAGCAGGAGAGCCCAGATGTAAGGTAGACTGAGAGTGTGGAGGAAAGCAGTCTTGGTGTGTTCTTTAATGCCTCGGGAGAAGATATCTCGGACCGCCTCATAATCCGAGTCCTTGTACAGCCGAATAACGTAGTCAGGCATGGTCTCCTCCTGAAAAAGAAAATGAAAAGGTGAACATCATAGACGTCCTACAACTACATGGAGTGTTCATAGTCAAAGACACACGTGAAACCACATCCAAGACAATGGCGGTGGACATGACATTATGGTTTGAAAGGTCTTCACCTGCCAAGTGTGAATCTCCCCGGTGTTACTGTACCATATGAAGGAATGGGAAAGTCTACAGCAGGGATAGGCAACCTTGATATTCCAGCTGTGTGAAACTACAAATCCCACCAGTAGCGTAACAATCACCATAGCGACCCAGGCGGCCGCACAATGGGGCCTGGCCAGATGCCGTGCGGGCCGCCTGGGTCGCTATGGGATCTTCTGCTGGTGGCTTTCACTGGCGGCTGAAGACGAACACGCCGCTGTTCAGATCACTGACAGTAATCTGTGCAGCAGCGCGTTCCTCCCCACAGAGTCAGTGAGAGCCAGCAGCGGCATTGGAGTAGGCTGGACCCGGCAGTGGAGGAGGAGGAGGGGGCCCGTGGTCGGCATCAGGGGAGGAGGCGGGGCCCGGTGACGAATAAGGAGGCGTCCCCGGCGATGGGGCCCATCAGCGACCGTGGAGGAAGAGGAGGCGGACAGGTAAGAAGTGCGACCATCCCACCTGAGGATGACCCTCCAGAACCCACCATAGAGAGTCTATGGTGGGCTCTGGAGGTTCACCCTCAGGTGGGATCTCAAGTGGGCTCTGCAAGGGGTATAACTAGAAATCACGGGGCCCCATACAAAATTTTGCTATAGGGCCCTGTGATTTCTAGTTACACCCCTGAATCCCACCATACTTCTGCCTCTGCTAGTCATGTCTGTGACTGTCAGTCTTGCAGTTCCCTAAGAGCAGGAGTGCTGGGGTTGCCTACTTCTGGTCTATAGGTATGCATGCTCTTTTTTTTATAGCTCACCTTCAGTCAAAACGTATTGTTTTAACCCCTTAGTGACCAAGGACTTTTTTTTTCTTTTCGTTTTTTGTACCCATGATATAATCCACATTTTAGGCCTGAAAATTACTTCAATCGCCCACATATTATATATTGTCTGAAAGCCGAGAACCCTGTAGAATAAAATGTTGGCAGTTTAACATTTTTTATGTTGCACGATATTAGCCCAACTTATTATCAAACCCCAAAATGTAGTGAAAAATGTCCTTAAATGCCCCAAAACACAATAAAATATCCATTTTTTAAAATAAAATAGAAAAGAGGAGGTTACAGCGAGTAAATAGATACCCGACATGCCCAGGTTAAAAATTCTGTGCGTCCGTGAAACTGCGACAAAATTTAGTACCCCAAAAAGTCCATACATGATGCTTTAAAAGCCCTCACAGGTCATCAGTTTAGAGATACGTGTAAATACTGGCCATAGAATTATTGCTCTCACTCCGGTGTGCGCGGCGATACCCAACATGTGTAGCGCGATCGTCTTTTTCATTAGTAGGTGCACCCGACGCGTGTTTACGTGAAGACGCGCATGCTCGCGGGGCGGAGGACTTTAAAACATTTTTTTACATTATTTTTACATTTATTTCATTTAAAATTAATTTTAAAAACTTCTTTTTTTTTTACTTTACTTTAGTGCTGCAGCTAACGATTATTTTCAAAATCGATTAGTTAGCCGATTATTAAGTTCGATTAATCGGTTAATCGGATAAAAAATAAAATACATTTTAAAAAACGGCTCCAATGATGGGACTACTAGTTTGTATTGAGATTGCACTCCATCACAGGAGCAAGCTTGGAGTGGTGGAAGTAAAAAAGAAAAGTGTGGTGTGCAATATAGTGAAATGAAAAAAGTGTAAAATTATACAGCAATGATGAAGAATGGCATCGACTATAGAGGACAACAAAACCCAGCAATAGTACATTATACAGCACAATGCAGAATACCACCAGCTATATAGAAATACAACAAATCCCAGCAATACATTATACATACAGTGTATAATGTATTGCTGGGATTTGTATTCCTCTATAGCTGATGGTATATTGCTCTGTATAATATACAGTACAGCAGAATGTACCATCAGCTATAGAGGAATACAAATGCCACTATCCCAGCAATACATTATAGAGCACCATGTGTGGGAAAGTGCAGGCTTACCTGAGCAGTCTTCCAGCAACTTGTTTCTGAGATCGGTCCTGTCTATCAGCGGCTGTCATCCCCCCACACCTGCTCCTCCTTACTTTTTCTCCCTGCATCCCTGTGCCGATCGTGGATGTGGGTGGGCGGTGGGCGGTGAGCGCGAGGCGGGGAGGAGGTGCGGCGTGTGGAGCGTGGATGCGGCCAGGCGGGTCTGGCAGCGGCAAGCGTGAGGTGGGGAGGAGGTGTGGCGCGCATTGTGTGTGGAGCCGTGAACAGGGCGAACCAATCGGAAACCAATTAATCGATGAATGAAAAAGTTGACAACTTTTTCAATAATCGATTATAATCGATTATGTCGATTAGTTGTTGCAGCCCTACTTTACTTTAATTGCTATCACATAGGGGGGCTTACAAACCCCCCTATGTGATAGCATATTGGCAGTGACAGGTACTCTTTAAGGTGATGCTGGGCGTCCAAAAGACCCCTAGTATCACCTTCACACTCTAAATAACCTATTAGGTTGCAGATCGCAGGCTTCAGGAGCCCTGCACTGACAGCTATGGGACAGGAAGTGATGTAATCTGTATCGCTCCCGGTACCATAGTACAGGGAAGGGATTGGTGAACGGAGGTTCGCTGATCTCCTCTCCAGCTTCCCCCCGACACAAGAGAAGGCGGGGAGCCCGGGAAACATGACCGCGTACCTGACTTTTAAGCTGGCCCGCGGCCACATAGTTCCGCGGGCCGGTACTTTGAGACCACTGATTTAAAGTGTCCCCTATGGTAAATTTTGGGTATAAGGCTTGACGTGTTTGGTATCTATTCACCCGACGTGACCCCAACTTTTATATTTTTCCCAAAAATTGATACTGGTTTGATAAACATTTGAGTAAATACCGTGCGACATAAAAAATTGCAACTAGCTTTCAGAAAATATATCATTGTTTGGGCGGTTTAAAGCTGTTTAGCCAGAAATTCAGACTTGTATAGTAAGAAATGGCTCCGTGACAGCAAGTGGTTACAAGCCTCATGGTCACGGCCTGAAAAATCCGCTATCTATAGAGACGCCCGATCGCTTGAATAGGAGCAGCTGTCACTGCCGTGCCGGTCCCGAGATCCGCTGTGTCCGCTGCGGCCAGGAACGGCACGGCTGCTCTGTGACAGGAGATCAAAGGGAGATTGGTACGCGATCTCCCTCTGATCTCCACTTAGTCCCTGAATGCAGGAAGTGATGTATATTACATCACTTCCTGCATTCAGTGTCACTCTCCAGCTACAGAAGCTGATGAAGCAGATCTCTGCGTCATCAGCTTCTCTGGGGGTCACTAGGTGACATTAGGGGTCTTGGAGACCCCTGAATTGTCTCCATAAAGAGGACCTGTAATGTAAATTGGCTAGCGCTCCCTATGTGATAGCAATAAAGTTGTGTTAAAAAAAAAGACCCTATAATTTTTCAAGCCCTGCTCATGGTGCTCCTTGGATTTTCGGGCCCCTCTATGCAGCTAGGCTGTGAAAAAGTCTCACATGTGTGGCATCTCCATACTCAGGAGGAGTAGTAGAATATGTTTTGGGGGTATAAATCTAACTATGCCTACTCTTTGTATAGGAAATATCTTATTAAATGACAACTTTGTGTAAAAAAGAAATAAAGAAATAGGAAAAAATGAAGTAGGATCACACTAATCCAGCACGTTATTAATCTCACGTGCCCCACTCAATATGGCCGCTGCCTGAGTGGGGCAACTCAGAATAATAAGGTGCTGGATTAGTGTGATCCTACTTCATTTTATTACTTCATTGCTGTGCTGTATGTGTATAGGCCAATGCCTTGGCTGGCGCTCGTGCAGAAAGTTTCTTGGGCAAACTCACCGGCCCAAGTGGCTCCGTCGGCTAACGAAGGTGGGAGGAGTCCGGTGACGTCACGGACTCCTCCCCATCCCTTTCGTTAGCCATCACGCACACCAACGTCACTGGACTCCTTCCCTTCGTTAGCCGACAGATCCACTTGGGGAAGGGGGGAGGAGTCCGGTGACGTCGATGTCCGTGACGTCACCGGATCGCCGACGGGACTCCCGGAAGCCGGCGGAGAGCTGAGTGTTTTCATTAGCGATCAAAATAATTTTAATCGATCAAAAAGTTTAACGATTAATCGAGAAATTAATCTTTAATTTGCACAGCCCTAGTATAAAATGAATTTCAGTGCAGCGTCGCATGACGGAATACATGTCAGTCAAAGTACCGCAGCTCTGAATACCGAAAAATGGCCGGGACAGGAAGGGGGTGTAGCACCGCCGACTTCAAGTGGTTAATATTTAACATAGACATGTCAGGTGTAAAATGCTGTGATTGTGAAATACTGACACTCGCAGAGCGTTCACTTCCTGCTTTGAAAGGGCAAAGTGACTTCAGTTTGGCAAAGCAATACACACTGGGATTGCCTTGTCACCAGCAGAGCATTGCTGGGAAATCTCATCTGTAATCTCATGAGATCTCATGAGATGATGTGCATGATCACATGCCCTAGTCACATGTGCCAGAAATCCAGGAAGTAAAATGAGAGCTAGTAATCTGCCCTTAGTAAACAAGGCCCCTGCCAGAAGACTGGGGAAGAAAAAAGAAATAAGGAAGGCAAAGAATACAAAGCCGGCAATTATCCAGAAGCATCTGTGTTTGTAGATTGTCATCACTAAACATCTCTAAAGGCGTGTTTGTTGTTATTTTTAAGATGAGGGTAAAGGTCCGCTTTAAGTGTCCACAGAAATAATAATTTAAAAAACAGTGTGCTATTCCCCCCCTAATTCATACCAGACCCTTTAGGTCTGGTAGGAATTTTGAAGGTGACCCCAATGCCAATTAAAAAACAAAAACAAACGTAGGGTCCCCCTTAAAAGCCCTTACCAGACCCTTAATCCGGGCAGCAGCCTGGCAGGGCAGGAAAGGGGGGAGAGAAGCAAGTGCCCCCCCTCCATCAAACTCGGCCACATACCGATGAGGACAAGGGTCTCTTCCCCACAACCCTGGCCCGGTGGTTGTGGGGGTCTGCATGCAGACCCCCACAACCAGATGCTGCCCCCCCTTGTGAATGAGTAAGGAGTATTTGCGCCCTTACTTATTCACTAAAGCGTTAAAGAAAACTCCCACACCTTGGAAAAAATTCCATTGAACAAAAAACACAACACGAATTTTTGACAATTCCTTTATTTAAAAAAAAAAAAATGTCCCACTGAGTCATTCCAGCGTCGGCCAACAAATGAAAAAAGGAAAACAAAAAAAAACAGAATTGACCATTTCTAGTTTTGTGGAATGTCATACTGATAGAGCAAGGTTTTGAGGTCATCTGTAGATATTGACCATCACTGGTTATGTGGAATGTTAGATTGGTAGAGAACATTTTTGACGTCATCTGTAGGTATTGATAATCACTGGTTTGGTGGAATGTCATACTGGTAGAGCAAAGTTTTGAGGTCATGTGTAGAAATTGACCATCACTGATTTTGTGGAATGTCATATTGGTAGAGTAGACAGTAGAAAGGTATCATGGCACACTCACAAGTCAGCATGTAAAAAAACTTGTCTCACCACTAAGGTTAGGTTTGGATACACGTCTTCTGCAGAAAATGTGAAAGCCGCACAGCCGCGCCAAGGCACCTCTTATAGTGCGGTCCTAACTCTAAACTATGAGAGTCTCCATCTTGGAGCACATGGGGGCAGAAGATTTCAAATTGGGTGCAGGTTTGTCAGGAGGAAGCCCAACCTCCTTAAAGGCACAGGAACACACACGGGACACATCCCAATGGCAGCTGAGAACCCCCATGCATCACTGCACCAAATCGGTCAAGCAAAACAAATGACAAACACACTCAACAATTTGTCACCAACTATACAGTAAGGTGCACTCGAAATGGGCTTCAAACAGTAGACTGCGTCACTGCACCAAATCGGTCAAGCAAAACAAATCGGTCAAGCATGGGGGTTCTCAGCTGCCATTGGGATGTGCGGGATCCCTTGTGTGTTTCTGTGCCTTTAAGGAGGTTGGGCTTCCTCCTGACAAACCTGCACCCAATTTGAAATCTTCTGCCCCCATGTGCTCCAAGATGGAGACTCTCATAGTTTAGAGTTAGGACCGCACTATAAGAGGTGCCTTGGTGCGGCTGTGCGGCTTTCACATTTTCTGCAGAAGACGTGTATCCAAACCTCTGTTACTAACCTTTGTGGTGAGACAAGTTTTTTTACATGCTGACTTGTGAGTGTGCCATGATACCTTTCTACTGTCTACTGTTTGAAGCCCATTTCGTGTGCACCTTACTGTATAGTTGGTGACAAATTGTTGAGTGCGTTTGTCATTTGTTTTGCTTGACTATATTGGTAGAGTAATCTTTTGAGGTCATCTTTAGAATTGACCATCACTCATTTTGTGGAATGTCATATTGGTAGGACAAACTTTTGATGTCATCTGTTGATATTAATAATCACTGGTTTTGTGGAATGTCATACTCCTAGAACAATCTTTTGATGTTATCCATAGGTATTGACCATCACTGGTTTTGTGGAATGTCATACTAGAAAAACAAACTTTTGAGGTCATCTGTTGGTATTGATAATCACTGGTTTTGTGGAATGTCATGTTGGTAGGGCAAAGTTTTGAGGTCATCTGTAGGTATTGATCCATCACTGGTTTTCTGAAATACCATACTAGCAAAACAAACTTTTGAGGTAATCTGTAGGTACTGACCATCGCTGGTTTTGTGGAACGTCATACTGGTAGAACATGCTTTTGATATTATCCATAGGTATTGACCATCACTGGTTTTGTGGAATGTCATACTGGTAGAACATGCTTTTGAGGTCAAGTAGTTTTCTAAAGGGCATTGGGCGATGGAATGCATTCATTAGCCTAAATCCCAGCTTTTCATACAACCGCAATGCATCAACCTGGGCCGAAGTTGTTAATGCTATAACTGCCGTGCAGCCCCTCATCCGAGCAAAGTCAACCGTTGCCCTGACCAGTGCCTTGGCTATGCCTTTTCTGCGGTGGCTCTTGGACACGGAGAGTCGCTTGATTTCCAAATGGTTTTTACCACCAGGAGAAGAAGAGGGAATAGCAGCCACTGTCCCCACAACCTTCCCGCTCATCTCTAGCACCCAAAAGCAGTGATTCTCTCTCTCCAGGTAGTATTTCTGGATGTCCAACAGGTCATCAGAAAAGGCATTTTGGACGGAGGACCGGAACGTATACTGGGCTCCAAGCCATAGGCAGACAATGATCAAGGCCAAGGCACAGATGGAGGCAGTAATAAGCGTGGTACTTAGCACAGGAAGAAGGAGCAAACACAAAAGGGGGAGGTAAATGTGTGGCAGCTGTAAGGCATGCCTGAAGGCCCTGTTAACATGCTCCATAATGTTGACAGCAAAAAGGCTCCTGACCACGTGATAATCAGAATCCTTGTACAGACGAATTGTGAACTGAGACATGGTAATGCTGTAAAGAAATGATAACATTGAACTTATTAATAATTAAATTGAATCCTTTGAGTAACTTTGTAACATTTGCCTGAAAGTAATTTTGGACACATGTTACTGTTCCATTTCATTGGGATGCATTTCATATCACATTTGCAGGTTTTATATATATTGTGATTATTGGGACACCCCTCCCAATCATTGGATTCAGGTGTTCCAATCACCTCCATGGCCTCAGGTGTATAAAATCGAGCGCCTAGGCATGCAGACGCTGCTACAAACATTTGTGAAAGAATGGGTCGCTCTCAGGAGCTCAGTGAATTCAAGCGTGGTACCGTGATAGGTTGCCACCTGTGTAAAAAGTCCATCCGTGATATTTCCTTGCTACTAGTTCCAGTGAAGGGAACTCTTAAGGCATCAGCACACCAAGACATTTTGGGCAATTTCATGCTCCCAACTTTATGGGAACAGTTTGGGGACGGCCCCTTCCTGTTCCAACATGACTGCGCAACCGTGCTCAAAGCAAGCTCCATAAAGACATGGATGGGGGAGTTTGGGGTGGAGGAACGTGACTGGCCTGCACAGAGTCCTGACCTCAACCCGATAGAACACCTTTGGGATGAATTAGAGCGGAGACTGCGAGCCCGACCTTCTCCCCCAACATGAGTACCTGGCCTCACAAATGGTCCAACATTCCCATAGACACACTCCTAAACCTTGTGGACGCCTTCCCAGAAGAGTTGAAGCTGTTATAGAGGCAAAGGGCGGAGCCAACCCAATACTGAACCCTACGGACTAAGACTGGGATGCCATTAAAGTTCATATGCGTGTAAAGGTGGCCCAATACTTTTGGCAATATAGTGTGTGTGTGTGTGTGTATATATATATATATGTATGTACGGGGAGTTACACTGTTCAATGACTGCTGATAAAACAACAGTTAGCGTCAAACGTCCTGCATAGACATTCTGTGCACCCAGATAACATTGAACTAAGAGGAGCAGAAAAACACAATCACGGTGGAGCACAGACCGCACATATATAATGAGCCACTGTGCCTGCTTTTACCCTTTTCACAGCCATAGGCCATGGAGGCCTGGATGCCCTGGCCAAATTTAGCACTGTCAGTATGCATCGGTCCGTTTCAGAAATTTGCCAAACTTAATCATTTTTATATCTATACTTTTGAGGACATATAAGGCTTTTATTTGGCACCCTGTTTAAAAAAACAGGCTGGCAAATGCACCAAAAACGTAAAAACAGAGTTAAAAAAGTAAAACATAGGGTCCCCAATAGATGGGAATGGATTTTACAAGTGACAGTAATTCAGGAAGCGGAGGAATGGGTTGCTAGGTGTTAAGGTCGCTCAAAACATTGTTATTCCAAACGGGTTGTATGACTGCACCATGTTTCTCAATCTACCACTGAACTGAACGCTTGACTTGTTCCCTAGCATGCTGCTTAACATGATCATATGTAATGGTGTCTTCATTTTCTATGTTCTTCTATTAGAGAGCTGAAAGGGGAACTGGATGCCTATTTGTGTCACTTACATGTAGTGCCTTGTGCATTATTTTTTATATATATATATATATATATATATAGACATGTATAAAAAAAACAAAAACAAAACGGATACAGTGGCCTTTGTTTGTCCTCCTTTTTTATGTAGAAAATGTGTTTAAATAAAGATTATATATATAAAATAAAAAAATCAAAATGTTTCCATATTTCTAAATTAATTTATTATTAATTATTAAATTGAATTATTATTGTTTAATTCTTGTAACTGTAAATGTATCTGGCAGTTGCAGTATTAAATAAATGGCACTGCAGATAAACAGATGCAGCCAGAAGGTGGCAGTGTTCCTCTGTAGGCTGAAGGTTTATTTTGTCAATGAAGCCTGCATGTGATCACTGTGTCAAAGCTTCTATAGTGATCACATGATCTGTAACCAGACTTGTTTCTGATCTTTATTGGGGACCCCAATGGTTAGTGACAGCTGAGAGTGAGAGGGGATCTCTGATGTACTAAATGGATCTTGCTTTTTAGTGTAAGGTCCACTTTAAGCAGTTTATTTTTACAGTGCCGAGTTCTGATATTTACATCTGACCCATGAGCTTGAAAATGTTTGACGTGTTAGAATTGCCTATGTAAAAACAACTGTGGAGCTGGTGGTGGCCGGGACTATCCTGGAGCTTGCAAGTCATCCCAGTGTAATGTGTAGTCCACACATAAACTACAAATTCCCAGCTCCGTTGTGCCCCATGCAAATAGTTGCATGCTGTTGGCTCTTACCAGCCATGGCACCTGGGAGCTTGAAATGCTGTGTTCAGTGCCAGGCTTGAATGGAACAATGGTGACTGGGGCTAGGTGGAGCCTGCAGCTGATGGACATGCCAATGGCTTGTCCATCAGAGAAGACAATGGCATTGATCACATCTCCTCCCCAGTGCCAGCATGTCACGCTGTAGTCCTTGATAACTTAATGGTGACAACTAGGGATGCACCGATACCACTTTTTTAAGGCCGAGTACGAGTACCGATACTTTTTTTCAAGTACTCGCCGATACCAATTACCGATACTTTTTCTTAAAGGGACAAGTCAAATTATTTCTAAAGCAATACAAAATCATGATTTTAGGTCAGTTTCTTAATATTATGAAGAACATGAACACTCTGTAGTGTGGCACAGCTATATCCAATTCTGCATACCTGGCTTTATATTATAAGAACTTTATAATATAAAGCCAGGTATGCAGAATTGGATACAGCTGTGCCAACCTATACAATAATACACTGTCTGGACATGTGATCATCTATTTTCCCAAGAAAAAGTAGTGAGATGATCTGAGGGGGATCAGCTCAAAGTACAGCTAGTAAGGAGGGTCGGAGAGTCAAAATATGATACAAAATATTATACATTTATTATTTAAAATCTCATTGGACATACTACCGTGTTTCCCCCGAAAGTAAGACCTAGCACTATCTTCAGGGATTTCTGTAATATAAGACCTACCCCGAAAATAAGACCTAGTTCGGTGGTAGGTCTTATATTACAGAGATCCGCTAGGTCTTACTTTCGGGGTAGCTGCACATATAATAGATCAACCATGACCTCTACAGTGGGGCAGATAATTACACATTTACAAAAAAAATAAAAACATACATTTTTTTAAATAAACAATTTTTGGTTTTAGTTTTTATTTATTTTATTATTTTTCACTTGACATTGTTTCACTTAAATTTATTGATAGCGTTAGGATCAATGTACCCCAGGAGCTGCCTGACACCCTTCTCTGAATCAGAGTCCTCTGATTCGAATCTTCTATGAAGGTTAAGACAGCTCCTGAGCTTCGGTTCACTGGCATTTCAACCGACTCAGGAAGTGAACCGAAGATTCGATTCATGAATCGGTTCTATTGAATGAACTGATCCAAATGAACCGATTCATTTGAAAGATCCGAACTTCCCATCTCTATCTGCTTCAGCCACTCCGTGTCACAGCCTATTCATCTGCTCCATTCTGACCTCTTCTCCCGCTGATTGGCCGATTGGATGATGACAGGCTTCCTCACCAGTCAATCCTGACTGGTGAGGAAGCCTATCAATCATCCAATCGGCCAATCAGCGGGAGAAGAGGTCAGAATGGAGCAGATGACTGAGGACTTTGCGGCGATCTTGCTTCATTGAAGATGCGATGGAGGTCCTGTGTGCGGCGGATTCGGGTCACTGAAGATGGCGGACGCGGCACAGGTACTCGTTTTATGTATCGGAGTATTTGCACGAGTACGAGTACTCATGCAAATACTCGGTATCGCCGCCGATACCGATGCTTGTATCGGTGCATCCCTAGTGACAACGATGCCATTCCTCAAGAGGCGGTCTAGTGTGGTCACTCTCTAACAGGAAATTAGATACAGCAGAAAGCTCTGGCAGAAGCAACAGGTATTAATAAGGATTTGCAGGGAGAATGACAAATAAAATGTACACACGGGGGTAATATTTTAATGGTAAACAACATAACTTCTTGCTTTTGTATAGTCCTACTATAAGGGGTTACTCCCAAGGGCGGGGGGTGGAACTTACCTGTAGTGGAAGGCTGAATATATTCTCATTGAATTATTGGGTATTGGAAGTGCAGAAGAACCCAACCAGGACAAGGCTGACCCCTGGATAGTGAATATCCACAAACTGTTCTAATCTGATCTTCATCTGTGAGGATCAACATCATTACATTTAGGGGGTTATTCACAAAGGAGCCGAAGGATCCAGCCGCAGCTTCGGCTGATCCTTCGGCTCTCTTCGGCGGCCGGAGCCCTTCGGAGCTTCCTGATGATGGGATTTTTAGACGAAGGGGGTAAAGGTCCACTTTATTATATTAACCAACAACAGTTATTCTCCCCATAACACTTAAACCTAACCTATGCCTAAAAATTAACTCCTAATACTTCTCATAAGTTAACATCTAACTTAAAGGAGAACTATGGGGTAAGTGTTTCCCACCATAGTTCTCCTAAGGGTAATGGGAGGACACAAACTAGTGTCCTCCCGACACCCAAAGCTCAGTATATAGGGAGCTATAGCTCGCGGTACACTGAGACGCTGCAGCCGGGACAGATCCTGACATTACTGTCTGGATCCACCCAGCTGCGTGAGTGACAGCTGGCTCTGCCTATCTAGAGGCAGAGCCAGCTGTACCCGCCCCCTCCCCCGTCCGTTCTGCCAGTCAGCGCTGGAGGATCGGAGCGGGGAGGGGGGGAATCCCTGCAGGGAGCCGTTAGTGATAGTCACGGCTCTCTGCAGGGACAGGATCTCTCCGATCCAGCGCTGACTCCTCTGTCCTCCTCTGCTCTGATGTCACACGGGGTCTGTGCGGGTGCTCGCTGCTCCATAGACTTACCTTGTGTCTCATCTCGTCTCCCGGCCAAATATCTGAACTGCGCATGCGCCCGCCCCAAAATCCTGTGCGGCCTTCCGATCCAGCGCTGACTCCTCTGTCCTCCTCTGCTCTGATGTCACACGGGGTCTGTGCGGGTGCACGCTGCTCCATAGACTTACCTTGTGTCTCATCTCGTCTCCCGGCCAAACATCTGAACTGCGCATGCGCCCGCCCCAATATCCTGTGCGGCCGCCCCAGAAATTTTCAGATGTTTGGACAGGAGCGCGCGGCGGAGACACAGGTAAGTATTAACCCTTAGAAAAGGTTTTTTTTAATCGTTTTGCATATATCTACCGCTTGCCAGCCTAACATATATGCAAAAACATGCCGAGGGTTTAATAACCCTTTAATATTTGTCCATTAGAGGATCCTGTCACTCAACCCATAATCTAACCCTTAAAATGAACTCCCTAACCAGCACTTAAATATGAACTAAAGTGTAAGTATATTCTCTGTACGCTGTCTTTTTCATAGGCGATAATTCAAAGAGGAAACTTTGACATATGTACAAGCAGTGGCGTCACAAAGGGGGTGCGGCCCGTACCCGGGTGACACCATTGGAGGGGTGACACCAAAATGACTCACAGTCACGCGCACGCGCGTCGTGACGTCACGCGCATGGGCAGTGACGTCTCGGCGGGGTGACACTCGGTTACCGCTTCGGGTGTCACCCAGCCTCGGGACGCCCCTGTGTACTGTACTAAGTCCTAAAAGCGTTACACAACTAAAAAGAATTATAAAAAGATATATTGTTTTAGGCATTTGAATTGAGTTTTCTAATGTTATCTCCATTTTTTTCCACCAGCATTACCAGACATCACAACATAGGAGACAGAGGACCTGGTTGTTCTTTCTTATGCATTTATTGATTTCACCCATCCAGGAGTTCTCACTTCCATAGTCATATGTATACATCACAGAGGAACCTTGTACGTTATATACTTCATGTCTGTGAAGGTTCTCATTCATCCAGGTCACATGGTATATCTGTTCATACATTGCCTCTTTCACAGCTCTTTTAAACCAGTCCTCCTCCCTAACTAGGATGAATACTTGTCTGTCTTCAAAGGAGTGACCTTTTACCTTTAGATGTAGGTACACTGCCGAATCTTGAGCAGAGGGTTTGGCTCTTCTATGCTGTGCCATACGCTGGTGTAGCTGCTGTTTTGTTTCACCGACATACAAGTCTGAGCGCTCATCGCCGCACTGGACTGCATACACAGTGGTGTTCCTCTTGTGTTTTGGCGTTGGGTCTTTTGGGTGAACCAGTTGGTGCCTCAGTGTATTGCTGGGTGCAAAGCAGACAGGGATGTGTTGTTTTTTTAAAAACCCTTCTGAGTTTCTCAGACACCCCAGCTACATATGGGAATATGCGGGTATCCAGACTGGGCTTTTGTCAAAACAGAAAACAGGAGAGGAAAGAATGCCAAGGGTACCAGTGAGGGTGAAAAGCATTACAAACCGAAGACTTTGGTCATCCCATCCCATCAAATAAGTCAGTTGCCTTGACTTATTTTTTACAGATTTAGATACTTTAAATAGCGCGCAGAGCGAACGTCTCTGACTGAGATACATTATGGCCACTAGACGAAGCCAAGGAGCATTCCTATGTTCCTTGGCTTCATGTAGTTGCCATAATGCACTGTGAATCTCATTTGTAAAGTTGTTCCCTCTGAAAACATTGTGGTGTTGGTACAAAAGTATCTTGAGGCCAACGAAAAAGAAGCTTCGTATTCTAGACATAATATCAATGGGTATGAGGACTTAATACGTCAGCCTAGTTTATGAGATGATATCTTTTTCGGGGGAAGTCATCGATGGTTTGGGAGGTCATACTGGTAGGCCAAGACTTTAAAGTCCAATAATTTGTACTTGAAGGCGGGCGGAATAAATGTTTGCATATGTCTGAAGCCCATCTTTTCATACATCTTGCAGGCATTGATCTGGGGTTCGGTGGTCGTTAACACCACCGCCTCGCAGCCTCTCTTCTGGGCGAAGTCAATCACCGTCCTGCACAATGCCTTACCAATTCCTTCACCGCGGTGATTTCTAGACACCGAAAGACGCTTGACTTCTAAGTGTTTTTCTCCACCGGGTTGTGAAGAAGGAAGAGCGGCCACTGTCCCCACCAACTCTCCTCCTGACTCCGCCACCCAGAAGCTGTAACCATCCCGCTCCATGTAGTACTTCCGGATGTCCATCAGGTCATCCGACAGGGAAAACCGGACATACGACGTATGCAAATTCCGGGCTCCGAACCATAAACCCGCCACTGCCAAGGTCATGGCAAGGATGGAAGTAGTGACAGACACAAGGTGTAATGCAGGAAAAAGGAACAGGAAGGACAACGGAAGCCAGATGTGCGGTAGCCGTAAGGCGTGTCTAAAGGCTTCGCCACTGTGCTCTTCAATGCCGCAAGCAAACAAATTTCGGGCCACGTCATAGTCAGAATCCTGATACGGTCGGATAATGAAACGAGGCATTTGTACAATTCTGTAAAGAAATTAACATGACTGGTCAATATCTATCGTAGGAAGCTACAAAAAAATTATAAAAGAGCATGAAGAATGAGATGCGAGTTATCAACGGTTGTGTGTTTGCTGAAGTCTGATGTGAAGGGATGGCGAGGTTACAACGTGGCAGAAAAATAAAATGATGGCTTATAGATTAACCCTTTCCTTGCCAAAGCCATGTTTGTGTAGCGCTCACCCCCGTAGGAGCCGCTGAATGCCCGGTTCATCTCTAGTCTGTCTAGGGTATGTTCTTCAGCTGCCCACCCATTAGCACTAACCGCCCTTCTTCTGGTGCCCATAAACCGATGTCCACTCGAGTAGTATGATGCAGAATAACTTTTATTGAACATCTTCACTGGGGAGAGAGGATAGAGGGATCCTAAGCTTCCAGAGGTAACCGACAAGAGCTCCAAACTCACCAGACCTGGTTGGCATATCAGTGTAGATCCACTTGGGAGACAGTGGATAGCAGATGTAGCAGATGAGCAGGATGGATACAGATCCTCAACAGGAAAGACACCGGCCATACTCCTGAAGTCCTCTTAGTTCCAGGGCACTTCAAGAGCCAGCATTGGTCCCGGGTCTCCTCTTCTATCAGCATCACAGACCTCCTCCATGTTGGAGGTCTCAGGGAAACCTTTTCCATCACACCAGCCCATGCCCACCCCCAGGCCTCAGGCCTAGCCTGAGGGGCAGGCTAAACAGCACCCACCCCTATTTCATAACTGGTCCTGTCTGATCTGAGTACATGGCAAATCACTCCAGTATATGTACTCTATCCCAGCATGCACCACTGGTTGAGAGAAACCCCATGATTGGCTGCTGTGTTGTCACTGGC